ACTCAGGGTGGCCCAGATGTGAGGGAGACAGAATTGTTTCTCTTCTGCCAGTAGAGTCAAGTTAGGCAGTTTCTGGATTTTGGACACATTGAGCCGAAAAGTTTTGCCATCATTGCCTTAGACCCTTGTGCAGGGGACTGAGGCAGGCATCCTTTGCTACACACTATTGTCCTCCCCTGCCTTTTTTTTACATTCTTAAGAAAAGATAGGAAGCAGGCACACTGAAAAGCAAAGGCCCAACCATATTTATTTGCAATTGCTGCGGGCCCCTAAAGATTGCGCTAGACTGGAAAAAAGAACATGCCAAGATTGAATTATCTTTTTAGACATTTTTGACCTCCTAAAAATCTGTCCAGAGTCCAGATATTCTGCCAACCACTGTTCTAATCTAAGCCTCAATATCTATACATACATATGCACACATACATATGTACAGACATACATAATCTCCTGTTTAGTTGCCTTCTTCCCTTCCCTTGCTGTTCTCGTCAAATGCCATGCTATAAAACTCTCAAGGCATTTCACTTTTATAGGTGGTAACGGATTCTGGTAATTATTATTATTATTATTTGAAGTCTTATCATCTTGTCACTCATCCTCTAGACTGGGGGATAAGGGACCCTCTTTTTAACTATAGGCTTGTACTAGGGGCTTCTTTGATAGCTGCCTGTAAACAGGTGAACAAAAATGCCCTTCATCTTTTCATGGGCAGTCCTAGTTGGCTATATTTAGATTCCAGAAGAAAACATGTTATTCCAATGTTCATGTGATTGTGTGGCTTCTTTTTCCCTTCCTCCTAACCTTACAAAAACCCGCCAGTGAATTGTCTGCCTTGCATTGGTACCCTCAATGCAAGGGGATTTTATTTTTGACAATGAAAAACAGTGTCACCTATGTGAAAGTTCTCCCTTGAGAGAGAAAAATAGCTCGTTTTGCTTCAAGATACAAGTACAGAGACTGCCATTCTTAATCTAGTTATTGTCACCAGTATGTTTTGGGGTTTGTTTTTTTATTTGGGTTTGTTTGCTGCCCAGGATGGAAAATTCCTAATTGGTTTCATAAGCATAATCTTATTGTAATTTACTTGGCTGGTGGATGCCATGTTTATTCCTAATTTCTGCCATATAATTTTCCTTTAAAAATATGGTGTTTGTTTAATTGTTCTCCAGCCCTTTGCTCTTTGTTCTAACAATGTTGCCAACATGTTGCACAGAATGGGTAGGAGGCTGTTTCATAGAACAGGACTTTCCTTATGATATGAAAACCAAAGATTATGGAATTTAACATTTGTTCCACTCCCTTGTAGAGAGGGCTAACAGATAATTGAACATGTAAAAGCAATTAGTAATGAGCTGCATCTGGTTTTCTTTAGTGGCTGAAGACATTTAACCAGTATTTATGGATACGTCCCACTTAGATACCAGAAGTTTTGAGTTCAGTTCCTTTATCTTTGAAAACTAAGCAGAACTGCCAATCTTTCTGTCCCCAATATATAATTGTTTTGCTAAATATGAACCAGAATATTTTCTTTGCAAGAATATGAGAAGAATTATTCTCAATAGGGTTATTGTGTCATCCTCCCCGCCCCTCCCCCAAATTTCTCTGAGTAGTAGAAATTAAAGGGATATGCTGAAAGGTTGTTTTTTTTCCCTCTAGAATAAATGAATGTTAAAATACTTTTTTTGTGTTACAAATATTACCTGATCTAAGGCTTGACGGACCAAGAGTCATGACTTTATTGACTCTCAATAAAAAATGCAAAATCCTGTCAAGAAAACATTAAACTTTATGGCATTATTTTCAGCACATTCTGCAAATCCCAAGAGCCGAAATTATGAGTGAGTTGTAGGGATCAAGAAATGTGATCTTCTGCCAGTATCTGGGCAAAATCCTGGGATCTAATTAAAACACACTCCTCTCAGATCCTTTCCAGAATTTGCTTTTATTTCCCTGTGCAAAGCACTAAGGAAAATATAAACTGACTCATCCTGTTGACATGAGGGGATTCCTTTACCGGTTCTAGTGACATAATATAAAGCCTGTTACAATGCAAGAAGCTGCTTTTTGTAGGACATAAATACCAGAAAAAGGAAGTGTTTCTTCCACCTATATGGTATGGATTGCAAATTACCCTCCTTGTCGGGAGAAATGGGAAGTTAACATGAACATAATTAAACCTAATGTTGTTTTAAATGCATAAACTGTATAAATTAAAGTCAGTGAAGGGCAAAGTATTTTGTTCCTCAAATTATGTCGAATGGCCTTCTGATGGCTCCTTCCTTTAATTAGTCTGCACCACAGTATGTCACAAGTGCAAATATTTTTAGTGGGTTTTAGGAAGGCGGCCTTAGCATTAATGTAGTTGTGAATTGCTCCCTGATTATTGATTCTATGATCAACTTTGTAACTTACTTTCAGTAACTTTTATTCACTTGGTTTTGGGCTACTTTTACCAGCAAAATAAACAAGGAGATTAACAGATTAGTTAACAGATAATCAGAGTTGGAAGGGATCTTATAGGTCATCTAGTCCAACCCCCTGACCAAGCGGGAGACCCTACACCATTTCTGACAAATGGCAGTCCAATCTCTTCTTGAAAGTCTCAAGTGATGGCGCTCCCACAACTTCCAAGGGCAAGCTGTTCCATTGGTTGATTGTTCTCACTGTCAGAAAGTTTCTCCTTATTTCCAAATTAAATCTCTTCTTGTTCAGTTTCCATTATTCCTTGTCTGGCCTACAGGCATTTTAGAAAATAGATTGATCCCTTCCTCTCTGTGGCAGCCCCTCAAATATTGGAAGACTGCTATCCTGTCTCCCCTGGTCCTTCTCTTTGCTAGACTAGCCAAGCCCAGTTCTTGTAACCGTTCTTCATACGTTTTAGTCTCCAGTCCCCTAATCAAGACTACTTCTGGCTACTATTGTTTTTGTGCAGATAATTCTCAACTTATGATTTTAACTGAGCGCAGGAGTCTGATTTTAACTGAGCCTAAATTGTTACAGTCATAAATCAAGATACACTTGCTGATGGGACGTAATTTTTCAGATTTTTCACAGTGGTGATTAAGTAAATGTGACAGTCCTTAAGTGAACCCATTTGTTTGAAGGGGTATCTTTTTGCAGGAAAGTAGTCAAAAACATAAGTCGCAATCACATGACTGCAGAATGCCACAACCAGTTGTAAAGCTAACCTATCTGATGTGCATTCATATGACTAAAGGGGGACGATGACACCACAACTCCTTTCAATAGCCAGGGATGCTTTGTAGGCCCAAAAGCACCCATTCTGTGGCCTTTGTACCTATATAAAGTGATCAGTCATTACGTGAGGACCAGCTATAATAACTGGGAATTTCCTGTCCCCAGTAAAATCATTAGATCAGTGTTTCCCAATATCAACTTTAAGATGTGTGGATTTCTGCTCCCAGAATTCTCCAGCCAGCATGCAGAAAAACAATGCATTGGATCCAAGCTAAATGTTTGGTAAATATACCTCGTGTACACAATTAACACTTAGCACCTGAATGACAATGGCTAATGTATCCATGTCAACTGTTTCCAAAGGATAAAAATACTGAACAATCTTTTTTTAACCAGGTAAAATCTGATTAGAAGCAAAAAAAAACCTGGTATCTTTTAACTGCTGGAAACACAAAATAGAATTGGGAAGAAACCTATGTAAGAAACTATACATTATTTTGCTTAATGTATAATAAATTTTAAACATTTAGATAATCTTCTAATAGCAGAGGTTATAAATAAGGGATTATAGCTGCTGGGAAAAAAGCAGGCTATTTTTCCAAATAACAAAAAGTTCTTTGTGGGTAAATGTGTGTATATGTGCATATTTATCTCTTTGTGTACCTATTAATCTGAAATACTAAAATAGGTAACATGGTTTTGATAGAATAACAAACAGACACAAAACAAGCAGGCAGGATCGTTATTTCCAGCTGTATATTAACAAATAAAAAGAATAACAGACAAATGAAATACATAAACATTGAGTAAATTAAACTGCTATTACTCCTGGAGAAATGAATAAGGTTTGCCCTAAATCCAACTTAAATTCTTTTCTAAGTGACAAAATAACTCTTTGTGTGCTTACAAAGTATGAATCCTATCTGGATTGCCATTAAACAAAACAGGTATAAATATAATATTCAAACATAAAGGCAGGGCAATTTTTTGAGTTTCTGTACCAACATGGTGCTAACAAATCTGGCTCAAGAGTTTTAAATATAGGCACAAACAACAGCATAATAAAAATGGCACTAAGCATCAATGACTGAAAATACATATTTTTTGTTGCTTATTGCTAGAGTTGCCAAAAATGCAAGTGAAAACAAGCATCATCCCTTGTTCTTACATAGGGATGGTCCCAGATTTTCTCCAAGAATTAAATAGTGGCAAAGGATTCCTATTTCTATTAATGGGTACATTTGTAGTATAAGACTTCAGTATTTGCATTCCTACAAACAAAATTTACATACTTAAGGATGCAAACATTTTAAACTGATCTTTTTTATTTTTTGGCAATTAGCTTGGTTGAACCTGGCAATCAGTTGAACCAACACTAGCAACATCCTCATGTAAAAGGACCAATCCAAGCAATAAGAAAATTAGGCCTGTTTAGGTTTAGGTACCTCCTTTATAAGACTGTTTATATACACATAAACAAATATAATACACAGCGTGGCAGCTGTAGAGAGAGACTAACGTGGAATGTGTAGAAGATGTGCATAAATAAAGCTTCTTAAGTGCTTTCTTTGAAAAACTCACCTAGAAGAGGGGCGGGGCGGGGGGGAAGAGACCTTACCAATGAAAGAACTGGTCAACTGCTCACATAAAAGAAAATTACATCACATTCTGCAAAAAGATTGCTTGGATTAGAAAAGGATGTGTGCTGTAACAAACAAGCAAGATGGTGGTGCATAGAATGTTAGGCCCAAACTACAAAGAGAAAAAGGAAACAGAATGAACTACACAACAGGGAGGGCAGAACAGCAGTTAAAGTGGAGTTGATCCTGGTTTGACTCGATCAGGGGCTGCAAAATGTTCTGCCATATTTTGGGTTCACCTCCTCCAAGGGTGCATTTGTCTGTATTGTCTTGACATGCAAGAAGGAACGAATTCCACTCAAAGCCGTTTCAGACCAAGTCCCAATTGATTTCACAGTTGGTCAGTCGGCATTCAGTCCTGTTGGCAGGGCTTCTCCTTGAACTGAAAAGGCAACAGTGGTTCTCTTGCAACCCGTTTTGTGGCCAATGTTCAACAAGGCCGAGAGTTCAGAAGCTTGGATATTTAAACTTATTTTTTCTTCAAAAAATAATTTTCTTAATCTGTTTTTTACATTTTTTATAGAGAAATAAGCAACCCTTTCCCTGAGTCCCTCCCAAATTCTGTTTAACATTCTGACTGAACACTATTCAATTCAGTTTAAACATGGCCAGTCCATGACTAGTAGAGGCATTGAATCTTAATGCTTTGAAAAACAGATGGTTCCAGATTAAGAGGTCTTTGTGCGTGCGCAGATACACACACACACACTCATGCAAGTTCAAGAAAGCATACATTCTCCATAAAGACTTGTTTTCCTCCTCTAGCAGGTTAAGATGTTTTACCAACACACTCTAAACATTGAGGCTTAAGGATATTTCCACATGGTGCCACTTAGAAAACTGCCTCACAAAGATCTGAAATCTCTTGAAAGCCAGTTCTTTTTGTATCACACCCTTTCAACCCGGCTCGGATCATAGACCTCTGTAAAATAGGAAGCGAGCATGATTAGTACTAACAATTCATAACAATTATATCTATATAGGATTTTTATTTCTTAAGCTTCTATATTCTATTTGTATTAGAGAGCCATTGTGAGCATGAAAAAAATTAAAATTCATACTAAAGCATTTTGTTGACAAAGTAAATATATGCTTTCATTTTACAACTGAGGAATGTCAACAAAAAATATTAAAGTTTGTCTGCTGATAAAGGATAGCAGAAAAGCACTTAAAGGATTCAGAGAATTCTTAAAAACACAACATATTGTGTAAAATAGACAATCTCTTCATTGTGGCTTTTCTGGAAGTCAACTGTCTCATTCTAAAATTATAGCTACTTTTTATAGTTACCTTAGAAGTCATTCCTTAAAAATATGTCTTTGTAACAGGATCACTATTGGGGAAGAGAGACAAACTCACCCCATATTTTAGATCAGATATGATTATTCTTTACCTAACAGACTGTAAAGAGGTGAGAAAATTAATTAAAGTACATGTCATTAAAACATTCTGTTTGGAACACATCTTTGAATCTTGCTCTCAATCTCGCCTCCCTCAGTTACTGGAATCCCTCACCTTTGTTCAAAACCCAAATGGAATATCTGGCTAATACACAACCAAATTTCTAAGGCATCCTCCCCAATCTGTTGTCTGCCAGGAATGATAAGATTCCACCTCCCATCTTCTCTGTGATGTTTAGTCATCTTGCTAGGAATGATGGAAGATCAGATTAAAGCAATTCTTATACACTAAATAAAAGAACTAAGCTAAATTGATTCCTCTACTCAAAGGCGATATGGAACCACTGTTGGAATAAACAATATGAAATAAGCAATAATAAAAAGAAACAAAATTATATGTAGCTATTCGGAAGGATGGTTCTAAAAGAACCTTCAGCTTTTAGACATTTACACTAAGAATCTGAAGGCAACTAACATCTCTATGAAAATATGAAAATGGAAAACCTGGTTTTTATAAGATCTTAGATTCAGCATGTGGGGAACTGTTTTTACTTTAAATGAACCCCCAGATGATCCAAATATTTCCTTCTCTCTATTCATTTCTGGAAAGCATGATGGGTGAACATAGCAGGCAAAACTGGAAGTTATTTGAGTTTAAAAACATAAGACTGAGCATGTGGAACGGAAGATAGCAAATTCCTTCAGGATAACAGCATCTTCCACTCTAGGGTATTTATAATGGTGTATACCGGTAAAAGAAAAAGCCCAAACCCAAAACAGCTGGTTTATCTGATAGGGTACCTGTCTAACCATTGACTATCTCCTGTTTGCTTGCCAAAAATGAAATTGCAACTGCAGAATTCAGACCTAAGACTCAAACAGGAAATTACATTTTCTTTTTAAGACCCCTCTGGGAAAGTGTGTATGCACCTAATAATGCACTCACCATACAAATCCTGGAGAAACTTGTATCTTACCTGAGCTAGGTAAATCTCTTCCATATTTCTTTCTATTCCTATTGCCTAAATGTTCATTTTCATTCAGTGAGATTATACGCTTGGAAACACAACTGCCTTGGGATGGTTTGCGGGAAATTTCAGTATGGCCAACTGCAGAATCACTTCCTTTCCCTTCTGGTTTCCTGACTTGTTTGTTGTCTTCATCTCTATCCTCACCAAATTGGGCATTCTTTATACTGAGACGTCTCATGCGAGAAACTGAATCAACTTCTTTCATCCGCGCTAAGCGATCCATGGCTGCTCGGCTTACAGCAGAGGCCACATTGCCTTGCCCAAGCAGAGTTGCCTTCGAAGTGCTTCTAGTTTTCTTTTCTACACTTGAAGGGAATGATTTTCTTTCAGCAAGAGGAAGCTTAGCAGATTCAAGAGAGTAAGCACGGTCTTCCTGGCATTTGCTAGAATCAGGGTGATACCAAAAAGACGGTTCGCGGGTCAGCTTTCCTTTTCCACTACACTGCTCTTTGACTGATCCCAAGACATCTTCTCCAATGAAAGTGCTTTTCGGCCAGCTGCTTTTAGGCTTTCCTTTGGAAGAAGCCACATCTGCTTTCATTTCAGTGCTTATATTTTCGTTTGACAATTCACTGCTGTGTGCCATGTTATCAGACTCTGAATTTTTATTATCAGCTGTTAGAGATTCCACAGCTACCTCTATGCCCAGGATCCTAGATGCTCTTGCCTGAAGAGACTCATTTGGCGGAATGTTCTTTGTAGAAGAATTGGGAATGCTTATTCCTTCTTTGACATCCAAACCAACAGATCTCAACTTTGACTCAGAGCACCCTTGGTTCCTTCTTTTAAAAAACAATGGCGCTACAGGTGCGGTTTCTGGATCAGGGATATTCCTGCCTGCTGCCTTTTTGAGCTTATCAGAATCCTTATCCTTCTGGTTTTCAACACTTGCTTCCCTAGAATTAATGCTCTTGAATGGGACAGAAGAATTTTCACTGTCCGAGGCATTAGAAACATTTGATTTCACTGGATGCAAACCAATAGCCTGTTTAATAATCTTTTTCGCATTTTCCTGTTTTTGTTTTAGACCAACTGATTTATCCATTTCTCTCGTCTCTGAACTAACATTCCTAAAGTCACTAGATGCAACTCTTGTATCGGAGATGTTAGAAACATTTTCACTTTCTGGTTTACTTTTATCGGTTCCCTTTTTAAACATAGAAGGGACTGATTTTATCTCTGTCTGTGCACCACATCCATATTCTTGGCTTCCATCATCCGCTCTACATGCTTTTCCCACTGGCTTTTTCATATTCTTCTCTTCTCTCTCGTGCTTTTGCTCAGTCTCTCCAGCATCTTCACTCCTTTCTTCTTGTTTTTGAATCTCCTTATTAAAACTTTCCAATTCACTTATTGCATCCCAAGGACGTCGGCTAACAGGCTTTAAGAGAAACTGCCCAAAGGCTTCTTTGACACTGCAAGGTGATTTCCTTTCTTCCTTATGGGCAAAACTGGGCTCGTTTTTTCCCCCAGGAGGCCCTGTAGATGTAGTACGCAACTCATTCTGGCCCATTTTGGGGTTGGTTACACTCCTAGGACACTCAGGATTGCTGGGTTTCTTAAGCTGAACTTTCTTAGGGGGAGAATTTGGTTTACCTTTGCAGTTACCAATAGGTAAACTACTCGGGGCCGATTCTGTAGTAGATGACCCGTACTTTAAGAAGTGGCCATTGGTCAGTGTGTTTGATTTCCTAAGTTGCGACCCGTGGAGAGGCTGCTGAATTGGCAGTTCTTCTCTGAAATTAGTTTGTGTTTGCTGGTCCTTGTACCTACTGCATGGCCATGAGCCAGAATACTCTAATTTTGGGGGCTTTGGAGGCTGCTTGCTGCTGAGATCTTCTATCTCTGACACATTCTTATTGAGCATGTTTCCTGCAAGGGCTTGGAGCTCCGAATCAGAAGACGACGTACTTAGGAAACTCTGATCTTTTACATGTCTATTGCAACACAGTTTATTCTCACTAGAAGAAACTGGCATGTGCTGTTCAGGTTGAAGTGGGACAAACACCAAGCAAAACATAGTTTCATTTGTTTTTTTCTTTAAATGGTTTTTGCCTTGAATTTCTGTTCCAGGTTCAAAGGCTTTCACTTTCGTCAGTATCTCAGAGGAGACTTCTGTTGCACCTGGTCTTTGATCATATAGTTTGACCTTGGAGAATTCGGTATTCATATTGTTGCTTGTGTCATAAGAGCCTTTTTGGGTGAACAAGGCACAACTATCCTGATCTGCATTGGATTTCACTAACCATCTGCTGCTATCAGAGACCGGGCTATGTTTTACAGCAATATTTGTTGAGTCTGGTACATGGACATGTGAATTATTGAACTCTTGAGCCATAGAATTTTTACAGAAGATACTACTCTTATTTGCATCTTCTGCTTGGTCTTCCATCTGATGGTCAGCTGGATGCATTACTTTAAAGTGCCGTATTCGCGGGTCATCAAAAGGAATATATTGAACAGAAGACTGATGTCTCTCTTGACTCTTCACTTGCATTTTACTATCACACAAAATCTGCTCTTTCTCTTCCATTTGTAACTGATTGACCGAAGACTCGGTACCAGTACAAATACTCTGCTCTAGAACTTGCATTTCCTTAACAAAGCACTCGGCGTCGTCAGACACTCCTTCAGGTACATGTTGATTCTTACTTTGCTGACCAGGAGATTTGTAAGAGGGAGGAGGGTTGTACTCTGGTGGCTCTAAGGTAGAATCTTGACCTGGTTTATCAATTTTGGTTTTACGTCTTTCCTGTTCTTCATGTGGTGGATTAGTTTCTACAATTCCCCTACTCTGTTGATGAAATTCATATGAAGGAGGCTTCAGGGGTCTGCCATACTTGGTTGCTGGTTCACAGTATTTCAAATTTTCCAACTCAGGCTTTACTTTATGCTGTTTACTACTGGCCAAAGCAGGAATTTCAGCAGAGTTGGAATTCTCTGGTGAAATAAATCCTGGGAAAGACTGGGGTTTATTCTTAACATGGGAAGCCACAGTGTTTTGTCTTTCTAAATACATATATTGATGCAGGCTTTCTTTATTATCAATATATGGCTCATGTTGTCCAAATGTAGTTGGTTGTTTCCATGTTTCTGTCTTCAAACTTTGCCTTCTGTGGTTTCCAGGAGGTTTCATCATCTCCTGTTTGTTACTCCTCATATTATCTAATTCTTCAACCTCCCACTGACCTTGGTTTTCACCTTTAAACAGGGCAGAGGCTGTAGCCTTTCCTCTTGTTTCACAGTCTACTCTATCAGAATAATCATGAGCAATGAAATCTTGGCCTTGTCTTGTCCAAACAACAGGATCGTTTTCTTTCTTGGGGTATGAAGACCTACTTAGCTGTGATTGGTCATAAAGCCTGCAAATGAAAGGAAGTACCAGTGAAGAGATTTTTGTAAATGTTTTCTTTTCTCTGGATCTAAGTTAGTAAAGAATCTGAACCAGCCATAATCATGAGACACTCAACTTATTTTCTTCATATTTCCGAAAAAACAGAACTTTTCACAACAAACCACAAAAGAGTTCGCATTGTAACTATATTTTGTAATTAATATGCCTCTTTCTTCAGCATAATGTTTATATGATAGGAAACTGCTATATTACTTTTTACGACATACATAGACACTTTTCCACCCTGAGATATAGCTTCTTAAAATTAATAAAGAATTACAGTTGTGAACCTGGAACAGATTTTAAAACACAAATTATTCTTAACTATACACTTATTTTTTTCAGGACAGCCTGCCATCCAGTAAACTTTATGTTCTTTTGCAATCCTAAGATGTCAGTTGGAGACATGCAACCATGCCCAATTTTTAATTTATGGCAAACCAAACAATAAAAAAGAGCACTTTAGCAAAAGGAAAAACAGAGATGCTTGAGAAGGTATACATCTGTGGGATGTCAAAGAGGGGCTAGAACCTGTGCAGTTTTATTCCCTGAATTATGACAATATTCAGTATTTTCAGTGTATGCAGTTAAAACTTAAGTCTTTGTTCATTAGCTTGACCTTCCAATGACCCCTGGAAAAAAAAAGGTTTTCCTCACAGTACTGATATCTGTTTAGAAGGCAATGAAGGAAATCAACCATAATTTTTGATAGTGTGAAATATATTTTGTATAAACTAGAAAAGAATTCTTCCTCTCACTTTGGAGTATATGCTGGCAAGCAAGATAACATTGCATATTTATCTAGAAGGAAGATGTTAATATAAAATTTTAAATTTAAGACAATTTCATCTCCAAAAACAAAAATAAGCAAGAAAGAAACAACCAAACCAAAACCACACTTCTCTTCCATGTTATCTTCCTAGCATTGCCAATTTTTTAATAAAATCAATATTGAATATATTGTGTGTGAATGTGTATGTCTATTACAAATCATACTTTACAGAACATAACAAAATGTGAAACAGAGCCAGGAAAAAATGTGTGTACCTGGGTATGTAATACAAATACTGATCTCCCCCATTGTCCATGTATCAAACTTTTTTTATATACAACATAAACATTTCCTTTTCTCCTTCAAGCAGAAACAAAGGATTAAATTTACCAAGTAAATGGCTAATTTTATTTAAATTAGCCAAACATTTCAGCAGGGTGGCTGCAGTCATTTATAGTTTCATCCATCTTCAACAGCCTCCCTCCCAATTTACTGCTTTTTTCAATCACTCATGCGATTGAATCACTCATTCAATGATTCCCTCAGTCATAATATGTATATTGCACATCAAGCAAATTCTCTGAAAATGTTTTATAACAGTTTTGAAATGAACTTTTTCTTAAAAACTGTGAGCAGCTACCTTTTTAAAATTGGGTCAATTTTGCATGAAATATTTTTCACATTTAAAACCCCCCACAAAAATTGCAGTGAAAGCAAGCAGAGAAGACATCAAGGGCTAATTTTTGGGGGCTCTGACCGAGAGTGATCTGCATTTTCTGCATTAGTCTTTTAAAACAAATATGTGCCACAACTTTGTTATTAACTGATAAGTAGCTGCAACAGAACAATCACATAATATTTCTCCAAATGAGCAATCTTTCGTGTGCAGGCTGTTTCAGTTCAAAAATGCATTTGTATCTAGCTGCAGGAAAGCATGAAGCCGCAGCAACACATTTTATAAAGTGATGACAAGGCCACTGGCTTAAACAGGACCTCCAGGAGTGGCTCATATTTGCTTTAGTGAAATTCAGTTTGAGACTTCCTGCTTTTAATAGCATTATGTAGATTTCAATATTAATATGTCTCTAGGGCATTTTTTGTTTTCTTCTAAGTCAACTTTACTTTTTTACATTTCGAAAGCAGTCTCCACACTCCACCCCACCCCAAACAATAAACCTACTAAATGTAACTGATAAATCATGCAGATTACAAATATAATTTGACAGATTAAATTATTTGGAAATTAGCTGCAATGTTGGCCCCCAATCCTTGTTTATTGCTCTAAGTATCTTGCTTTCTGATAATACAAATCTCCCAGTCATTTGATCCATCTAGGAAAAGATTTGGTCAGATTTGCAAGATGTAACAAAGCTGCTGAGGTTTAACTGGTGTATGTGTAATATAAAACATATTTATAATTATATTTAACCTCTCTTTCTGAAGTTACAATTCTTTTTTCTATAATGTCTCCTGTCTAAACATCAAAAGCATAAATCATGAATCTATTTTATTTTTTACATAAAAGTCATAACAGGATTTAGTTTTTAGTTACAATCAAAAAAGTTCAGAGTTCAGTTTCTGACATCATAGGAATGAGCCTTTTTTCCCCTATAAAAGTATTTTGGCATCAAAAATGGTATATTTATCTTGCTATCTTTTATTGATTGACTGATTCCTCAAGATAGATTATTCAAAAACATAGTCTAAAATTTAGAGTTAAAAGCATTTAAAAAGATTAGAGCTTCTTTAACACCTCAATTTAGGAGCCAGTCACAACTTTATTTAATATTATTTATTTTACATGTAAACAAAAAATTCTTTTTGCTTCTTTCTGGAAATTTAAGACCATTACAAATTTTCTTTTCACAAAGAAAAGATGTTTTTCCCTTGACTCCATGGAGGAATTATGGCCCTGTAAATCTTGAATCTAAAATAAAATGGTGCCAAGATAATTATATGGAAGCCTTTATAATTGAGGTAGTTCTTGCTTAACAACCACAATTGGGACCGGTCGCCAAGTGAGAAATGACCATGACTAGGCTTTCCTTTTCTATATCCTTTGAAATGCTTATTCCAGTGCTGCAGTAATTAACAAGAAAGGCATTAATGTTTCACAATACTACACAAACAGCCTGGTATATTCCTCATTGTGTGCCTGCTTACTCTCTTGTAATCCCTTCCTCTGCACTTCTGCATTCGGAGGTGAGACATAGAAAACAGGTCAAGCATAGGAGAAATTCTTTAAAGAGATCACCTGTTTAGACAATCTCTAAATAGGGAAGAAAAATATGGGTCAGGCATAGGGCTATAATGGTAAACATCTGACTCAGACAGATGCTGTGAAAGTCATAACTGCATGTCTTGGTTGCAAAGTTATTTTTTCAGCAGCATCACAACTTTGAATGGTCACTGCACAAGGCAGTTCATGAGTGATTCCGTAATCAGAAGAAAGTATAGGTAGATCTCACTTATCAACTGCCTTCTGCAGAGACCATTCAAAGCTTTTGCAGTGCTGAAAAAATAATTTTTCAACTGAGGCAAGTACACTCATCAATTCTGAGAAGCTATTTGGGACATTCTTGAGGCCTTTTTCATATTTTAATTAAATATTTTGGCTGCATGTAGAGCAAAATGGAGAGGACATACTGCAATTTTTTTGTAAAGGCTGCAAACTGTGTCCCAAATAGGATTACAAACATAACAGTTAAACTACTGCAAAACTGACTGTTTTTCTTCAGGGTTTCTTGAAGATATTTGGAGAATTGACTGTCCAAGTCCAAATATATGCAAAAACATAACAGTGCTTATTAACCTTGCCTAAATTATTAATATGAAAGAGGTAGGGACCCATACCACCTGGCCATACTTTCTCTCAATGTGATAAATGTAGTGTAGAATTAACCTGGTGAAGCACATGTTACTCCCTCTTACAATGCTTTCAACACAATTGAAATTAAATCTCCTGGTGCATGCGCTTCAACATTTTTTGACAAAAAGCTGATCAAATTTTTTAAAAAATACTTACCCTCTTTGCATATCTTTTGGACCTGACAAATCTTCCTGGTGGACATTCTTTGGCCTTCCTCTGATGACAAAATAATTCCCGTCATTGTTTTGGTATCTTCTTCCTCTATTGGTCTTTGGTATGGCTCCTGGGTGGATTGGTAAACCATTCCGGGGTGCCTGACCAGGCTGCCTACCAGTATCTTCATGTTGATCTCTGTCAACTGGATCTTCCGATGAATTGGTAGGATTTTGGGTTTGCTTGTATCCATGAGAAATCAGTAGGTCATCTACGCTGAACATATTGCCGTAGTTTTATTTACCTCAGTATCTCAGTTTGTCACTGAAAAAGAAGGTAAATAATTTCGTGAGTAAGTAGTAGAGTAACCTTGAGATACGACCAGTCACTTAACATTGTTTGAAGTTAGGACCTCCCCACTCCCCCAAAAAGCTTCCTACAACTCTGTTTCAAATTTTTGACAGCTGTATTTGCCCTTACAGCCATAGGGTCATGGCAGCATCACCCCCCATCTATCTATCCTGCCCTGATGAGATCCCCACAGTGCTTCCCCATGCCTAGAGGAAGCAGAGCTCTGACAGTTCCTGCCAGGTGTTTTCAGAGTTTTCTGCCCCAATCACCTGGCTATTGAGAGACCACAAACCTTTCCAAGGTTTTTGCTGCTTGCCTGACTGCCTTTAGGACCCATACACAGGAGCAAAGAGATACAGTTCTCTTCTGCATGGGCATTTGGTGCATGTTTGCAATGCTTTTTTCTTTAGAGCCCAGTTTTCAATCAGCTACTGAAGGCAAACAAGCTGCAAGAAGCTTTTCTTTGCTTCCTTCTTTCCTTCCTTCCCTCTCTTTGCTCCTTCTGCAGCTTGTCCTCAGCCTGGCAGTCACTCATCAAGGCAAGTAACTTAGATTTTGTCACCCTCTTTCCAGGCATCCTGTAAATTTAGCAAACAAAGTGGTTGAAAAGAATCTGGATTGGAAGCAGATATGGAGAGTTTAGTTCCGTGATGGCAAACCTATGACATGCATGCCAGAAATGGCACACAGAGCCATTACTGCCAGCACATGAGCCCTTGCCCAGAGCAGGTCTATTGCGCCTGCATGCGCGCCACCCACCCAATGGCTGATTGTTGGGTATCTGGCGTGCATGTGGGGGGGGGGTGCAGGAGAGCTCACACATGTGCAGATATGTGGCACGCATGGGAGGGTCACTCATGTATTCACAGTTGTGCATGGGGGAGGTCATGCGTGCATGCACAGGATTGTGGAGGGACCCACGCGCATTGCCTTCTGGGTGCTGGCACATGAGGTACAAAAGCCCAGCAAGAAGCACATGAGGTTCCCAAAGCCCAGCAAGAAGCCAGGAGGAGTTTGCAGTCTCCTGACAGCCCACTCATTGAGGCAGAGGGCCAGCCCACAAGCATGGCCTCATCATCGGCCAAATATAGAGGCTTGTTTGGAAGCCTCTCTGGCATTGGAACATAGTGCTAGGCCCTAAGTTAACTGAGCTCTTCCTTTCTGCTTGGCTGCTGTTGGCTTTGCAAAGCTGCTTGTCTGCCTCTTTTATGGTACCAGCTGGGTGACTCCCCCACCCATGAAGCACCTCATGCTCCTCTTAACCAGCTCTTCATGTTAACAGAGGCATCTGGGAGAACAGAGATGGGAGGGGTGTGTGCTAAGCACGTCTCATTTCATGGATGTCACCATTTGCGACTATAATAGGCAGGCTCCATTATAGTCATAGGTTAAGGATTACATGCTTTCAGATCCACATAAAAAAGCCCCTGGTTTAGAAGTCTAATTGGACTGTTTCAACACGCACGTGAATAGGTTGCTTGTAAAATATATCTATAATGAATTTAGGCTGAAAAGCAATAATTTGTCAAATAAAACCACAATGCAATTTTAAGCAAGTCCCCTTTGAAGAGATATATGGGAGTAAAGAGATGGAGTTCTCTTAGACTTGAATAAAGGTGGGATACCCTTTACTGTAACACAATTCCTCCTTATTAAAGCAGGAAACCTGCAATATATTTGAAAGGTCAAAAGCAGGCAGTGGTTCACATATATAGTTCAATGCCAGCCATATTCATTGTGTGCCTTCTGCCATCAAATATTTACTTATATGTTGCTGCTTCTCTTCACTTTCTCCCAACTCAAGCCACCATACTAACATAAAACGATCTGGACTGCAGACATAAGAGAAGCTACTGATCTCAAACCTGGTACACTGTTCTTTAATATGATTTATTGTGAGATTTATTTATTGCCCTATGGTTTATTGACATGATAATCTTAGGTTTGAAAAGGTTTGCTCTCATCATGACATCCATGTAGATCCTTAAGGTAGATGAGCTAGGCCAGCGTTGGCGAACCTTTTCGGCACCGAGTGCCGAAACAGGACCACATCTGCATGCATGTAGGAATGCTGGAAGCTGAAAGGGCAACTCCCTGATGCGTGCATATGGGAGTGCCAGAAACCAAAAGAGCAGCTCTCCAGTGTGCATTGCGCGCTGGGAAGCTGAGTTTTCGGTTTCTGGTGTGTGCATGCACACTAGCCACCTGGTCTTCCAATTTCTGTGTATGTGTGTGCCAGAAACCAGAAGCTCAGCTTCCCGGCATGTACATATGCACTGGGATGCTACTCTTCTGGTTTCTGGCACTCCTGCGCATGCGAAGACCACCTGGTCAGTGCACATGCATACACCGGAGAATGGGCGACGGCTGGCATACCTGAAGAGATGGTTCTGCATGACCCTCCTGGCACATGTGCCATAGGTTCGCCATCACAGAGTTAAGGCTTAAGTTCCCAAACAGATCCAGAACTAGCATAGAACATAGTCAATTTCAAATAATGGGAGGATGGGAGGAATAGTCACATTTTAAACTACCTTAAAACAGATGGGAAAGTCCAGGATGGAAAAATATTTTTCAACCATGAACACCTGGAGCTGGGCAAGGATTCTGCACGAAGACAATGTGGGGCAGCTGGTAACTAGAACAATTCAATTTCAAAATTAGAGGATCCATATGGCAACCCGTAAAACAGCCCCATAATTGATGGGTCACAGGTGCAAGGCAGAACTGCGCTTTTCCTGGTGCTACATAAACTTCAGGTACTAGTGGAGTGTAGAGCATCCATTTCCTGGCTAATAACACACCCATTTCAGAGCAAAAATAGTACACAAAGCTGTCTTTACCATTTCCTTTTTTTAAAGTGGATTTGGCTGGGGAAGTGAATAGACAAAAGTGCAAAGCAAGCAAAATAGTGCCCAGCTTTTCCTTCAAGTTACATAGTCTTCCTTTCCCTAGCCAAGAAATGTGTAAAGCATCCTTAGCTGACTTGGGTACCATAAAATCAAATGGATTTGCTGGCTGGAGATGATGGATACGTGTTAATTCAGCCCAGAAGACATGAAACTGGGAAAGGCTGAAAATGCAGAATTTTTTTGGAACACACAAAAGTTCTAAGGAAATTTACATACTATAATGATAGCAGGGAGCAACCTACAAAGTTACCATATACTTCTTACAAAATGAAGACTTCAGGAAAAAAATGGTTACAACATCTGAAAAGACAAAACACAGGCCAACATTGCAATGTAATCCAAACTAACTAAAGGGCTAGCATAGTGTTGCTGCTCACTTGTTTATTCTCTGCATTTCTATACTGCCCAATAGCCCAATTTTTTTCTCCACTGCATAAAAGTCAAAATTAGAAAGAAACACAAGTATAATAAAAACAATGCAAAAGAGTTATTTTGCTCGCTCTTCTATTCAGTCTGTATATTTTAAAACTGCTTTCATAAAGGATTATTTCTACTTTTCAGTAGAAAGAACATTTTCCTAGGAAAAAAATGGGGAATAAATTGGTTATAGATAGTTGTAGGGGGGTGTGGTGGCTCGGTGGCTAAGACGCTGAGCTCGTCGATCAGAAAGGTTGGAATTTTGAATCCCCAGCACTGTGTAATGGAGTGAGTTCCTGTTATTTGACCCAGCTTCTGCCAACCTAGCAGTTCGAAAGCATGTAAAAATGCAAGTAGAAAAATAGGGATCACTTTGGTGGGAAGGTAACAGCATTATGTGCACCTTTGGTGTTTAGTCATGCTGGCCACATGACCATGGAGACGTCTTTGGATAGCGCTGGCTCTTGGCTTTGAAACAGAGATGAGCACTGCCCCCTAGAACCTTTACATATAGTTTGTAAACAATTGGTATAAACATTTCCCCTTCTGTGGATAAAAGACAAACCAGACACTGCACAATTTTCAAAACACCTTCACTAGAAGAACAGAATTTGAGTATTGGGACTCCTAATTTGATGCAAGTTTTTTTTTAAAGAATGGAAAACTGTGTGTCTTCCTGGAGTAGCTTTGTTTTGTTTGCCAGTGAGGTCACAGATTCAGAGATTTCACTTCCTCAGGATGCTGGCTATCTTCCCAGAGTTTCTGATTTGTGAGGGTTCAGCAAGAGCAGTTATGAAAAACTAAGCTAGATACTTTTGGGCCACCTGTATTTGCACTGGTCAAAATCTCCTAAAGGATGCTTGATCCTTGCAGTAGAGAGAAAAAACAGTGCAACCCCTTCTCTATTAACAGATCTTGTGTTCAGTCTTTCTCAGGACGTACCTCCTAGTTTGAATGTTTGCTAGAATGGAAAGACAGGGCTTAAACTGAATAATGAAACAACCCTCAAGAGGGATCAATTTGAAAGAACTGTTAAGGATCAAACATATAGCTACCCACCCTTCCCAACACAGCATTGGAGATGGAGAAGCAATCAGGATCAAGTTCTGCACACCAATAACAGATTCACACAAACTGAGATTTCTTCAGAGGAGCCAAACATCTTAAGTAGTAAGACACTCTGATTTTTCAGCTCGTATTTCCCTCTCCCCTACCACATGTGAACTATTATCTTCACAACTCTTTCAGTTCAAGGATGATCCTACTCAGAATAATTACAAGGTCCTAGCCACCTCTCTCTGTGCTCTAAATCCCATGCTTCCACTTCTTCCCTCCCATTAGGGCTGTAATTGGCTTGGAAGCACATCCCTCCTTAACCCTTCCTACTTATCTTTGTAAAAATCCCACCATCCTGTTTAAAAAAAAAAGGCTGGCAAGTACAGGACAGACACTTTCCATCTCCCTTCCAGATGCAATTAAAGATTTTTTTAAAAGAAAATTATCTAGTCCAACTATACCAGACTTAAAAGTTAAAAAAAAGAAGCTATCAGAGTTAATAGATATATTTTCATTTTTAATGATGCTGACTGTTGGAGGACTGCGTTCAAATAAGGCAAAAAGCCAAGTTTGTTCTCATACAAAATG